CATAATTCTGAGATGAAATTCAGAATACTGAGATTAGAGTCAGAATTCTGACTTTTTTCTCATATTACACAGAAATAAAATAAAAAAAAATTAAGTTAACTGTTTCATTTTTCAGTGGCCCCAATCCTTTTCTGTAGCTGATAGCCAAAGTCTATTGAAATTATTGGTGGGGACATGTCCCCACCAGTCCTCCTGCCTGAGCTCAGGAACTCCATTTCCTACCTCTGTTGACTAGGGATTGTGTCCCCATGCTTTAGACATTCTAACCAAAACAGATATTGACCGAGTGTAGGAGAAAGATGCAAGTCTAAAAAAAAAACAACTAAATTGATCGTCTTCATAATAACCAGCCGCTTAGTCTAGCTTACATAGATAACTTTATAAACAGTATTTTATTAGTCTGTGTACAATTATATATAGGTCTAACTTGTCGCAGTCCCATGCGAGCATAATGGTGATCTCTATGGTCTATACTAGTTTGCAAACCCACTCCTATGTAATAATAAATAGCATTTTTTAAGGCAAGACAAACATAAAGATTGAGACCTTCGGTTCATGGTGATAATAAATAACATATATAATGATATATACCATTTATGTCAGTAAATCCCTGTAATTATTAGACACTGTAGCTTTAAAATCTCCAATTTAGAAGTTTAGAAGGAACTCAGCATAAATTATTGAACATAAATAGAAGATGCAGCTGGTATGTTGGGATTAGGCTTCTGTGTTAATACAAGGTGTATGTTTGAAAAATACAGTAAAATAGGTAAGATAGAGGAAATTTAAAAAGGAAAGCAATCTGAAACATATCAGGAAAGTGTGTGTTTGAGACATGATAGTGGAGAGTGCTGTGAAAAAGACAAGATGATTGTTAAAAAAGAAACCAAAAGACTGAGCTCAAGATAGGGGAGCAAACAGTCTGAGCCTGTTTCATCACTTAATCCCTGAATTTCTTTAATTTTCCTTCACTGCTGTCTCAGACGTCAGCCTCAAAAATGCTAATTTCACAGCGGAGCATCACATACAAAAATAAGTACTTTAGGTAATAATAGGACAATTTAAAGCTGCTTAATAAGAACCATTTCTTCAATTGTTAGGTCGCAATATGTCAGTCAGTATTTGAGGGATTGTGTGCATGTTTTATTACATAGCCAAAAGTGTCAAAAATCAAAATTACCTGTGAGACTGAAAAACACAAAGTAGTCATGGGATACAGTAAGGTAATAATGGAGAATTAAAACAGCCATTAAATGAAGCTGATCAGTCGGTGCTCAGTCAGTTTTAAGTCTTAAGCACCAACTGAGGTCACTACTGTCCACCATGTCGGCTCACAATCTCCAAGACTTTAGCAGTAAAAGGTAGGTCTTTCATAATGGTAATTTTAAGGACACATTCGCACTGCTGTTTGGCTTCAAAGATTGATCCAGGGAGCTGTTAAAGTGAGAAAAGTCACACCTTCTGTTACATAGCTTTCTTCCACAAGGAGATTTTTTAGAACAGACAAAATGTCATGCAGAGGCAGCATAGTTTCCAGGGCAGTATTGACCCATAGTGTGCTGATAATATAAATAATAATACTATAAAAATGATACAAACAAGAAAGTCTGTCATATGAGGTTCCTGTTGCTACTTTAATGTTAAAATGTAGCTGTGTGGCTGCACCTCTTCTCACTCCAAGAGTCTTTTTGAAGCATTTTCAAACTCCTTTCAGGATTTTATCTATATATTAGTTTTTTCTGTTCTTCTGAAATGTACTGCTCTTATGTCAGACCCCCTCCTCCTTTTGCTGCACTAGGAGGGAAATGTAACAAAGGTAAAGACATGTTAGCTTACATTGTTTAACTAATAATGTTTAAGTAGCACAACCAAAGGTAAATATAACCAAGTTGATTTTTTTTTTTTTATCTTGATTTAAAGCAAGTTTTCAACACTTTGACAGGGAGTTTAATTCAGTAAAAAAAAAAAAAACAACAACATAAAAACTAAAAGCTGCTTCTCCATGTTTGGTTGTGATCTTTAGTATATAGGTGTTTACTTCTCCAGCTCCCAACACTGTTCTGATGGAGAAAATTGTAATTAGGAGGTATGGCCTCCAATGAAATCCAGCGATTACCAAGAATGCAACAACAACAAATATTGAGCACTGAACTAAGTAAGCAAATGAAAGCATACAAACACACACGAATAGGGCTGGCATAGATGCAGGTACTAAAATGCAAGATTTAGTAAAGGATTCAAACAATACTTTTAAGTCTAATCAGAGTCCAAAAAAGAAAAGGCAAACCATAAATATACTAATGCATTCACCACTCTGCCAATTCATACCCCTTTCATACCCACCCACTTTGCTTTCGTTCCTGTAAACAAACAGTTACATACCCAAGTACTTAAAGTACAGCAATTAAGTTAACCTTTTAATGTAGTGATCCAGATTCATGGTCAAATCATTCCTCAAATCAGACCCTTTTCAAATTTAAATATATTCTTTGATATTATTTACAAGGATTTAATTATAATATATATGTTATGATACATTTACATTCTTAGCCTCCCTAGAGACCAGAGTTACTCTAAGTGAAATTGTACTGGTATGGATTAGGGTCAAATAAACATACTTCCTCACCCATTTATAAAAAGTTCTGGGTTGTTGTTAAAGGGATAGTGTGCTACTCATGGGGCTTTTTAAAAGCAAAACTAAATAAGCATGGGCTTTAAAGAACATGGAGCAGAGCAGACTTATGGCGGCCACACTAGGTGTATCTTGAATCTTTCCAGCAACTACTCTGTCCTCCCAGCAGGGGGCATTTGTTTGTTGGGTTATATTGATCGAGCTCCATTGCAACACTTTTCAGTTGCTGTTGTTAGTCAGTTACAGTTGTTATTGTTCACAGAAGTTATTCCAGCAAGCAACTGTGCACTCCTTCCAACTGTACACCCCTTGTAACTCTACACTTCTTCCAACTCTACTTGCTATATTTTTTGAAAGGCTTTCCATGTGTTTCCTGATTTAATATAGCTGATTTGTCTAGATAGATGGGAGTTGCTATCTTCCTTCTACTTAAAAAGAATAAACCAAAGTAATACCAGATTTTAATCACTAGAGCTGCAAGTACTGTACTGTAAAAAATATATATTATAAAAAGACAGAACTGCATATCTTTCTGAACCTTATGAACTGTCGTAAATGTGACATTGTCACATTTTCAGTAATGCTGGATAAAACTCACCGATGGCTCATAATTAGTGATGTTATGAGATGAGCCGAGGCTTTGAGGCGTGTGTTGAGTAGTGGAGGGGGTGTTTCCGCGAAGCACGTGTCGAGGCTTTCTTCATTTAAGTAAGGAGAGAAAACTAATGACATCTGAAGCCTTGTTACGCCGCCATAACACATGACCACTTGGGGCAAAATATTCTCATTATCAGTTCGTATGAAATCGTACGAAAAGTTATGCACAGTATTTCGTACGTTTTTGACGTTTTTTCTCGAAAAAACATATCAGTGCGCATGCGCAGCCAGACAGACGAAAAAAGCAGATCCGCGGACGGACGTAAAACTGGGACGGACTGGCAATAATTACTTCATGATGTCTCTCACTAGGTTGCTTGCTTTTTTTGTATCTTAGGGTTAGGGTAATTGTATGTTAAATTCTATGTTATTGAATGGTGCGTAAGATGCGCATGCGCATGGATATCTTGTCTCGAGGCAAGACGTAAAAATACGACGAAATACGACGAAAAAAACGTCAAAAACGTACGAAATACTGTGCATAAACTTTTTGTACGATTTCATACGAACTGATAATGAGAATACACTGCTTGGGGAGGTGGTTCAGCTCACCCCGAACTTTGACAGGCATCAACCTCTGTATTCAGTCAAGATGTTGGAGTTTGTAGAAAAGATGCGGTCAGTTGGATAGAGCTGTTTATATTCTAAGAATAGATTAGTTGGAAAAACAAGCAATCTAGTTTGTTAAAACTTTCTTGGTCAGATTAAACAATGTAATGATCAAAATGTGAGCAGGCTACTGGTCACAGTTGTAACATCAGTATTAAGTAGTACTGCTTTCTGATTTGTAGTTGTCATTTTCAGTGGTATCACCTGTATGACATTGACTTCCAATCCTAAAGTTGTTGGTTTGAGACTCACCTCGGACTTTTGAAAGCTGTGATAATATTTAACAAGTATTTTGGCTAATGTAACAAATTTGTATTGGTTTGCCCTTGTACAAATATAGATTGGGTAAAAACACACCAAAATAGATCGGTTGGTTTAGTCAAAAGATTGGTTGGACACATAATTTCCAACCTGATTAAAACCAAAAACAGTGGAAAAACTATTATTTTTGAATAGGAATGAGAAAACACCTTTGATTTTGCTCATCATTGCCCAATTTGCACAAACACTTTCACTGTCTGTTAAAACTTTAAAGGATATATTTGAAAATGTTCTGCTTCTAGCTGAGAGAGATATTTGAGAACTAATGTGCTGTTATTTTGTGTCAGAGCATGAATTGCTTTCAAGACTGTTTGCTTTTTGTTATATTAGGTGTTGGTGCATGTTAGAAATTTTAAATGAAACCTGAGCTACTAGTGCTACTGCATTGTTGTTGAAGTAACTAAAGTTTTAAAGCAGCCAACAGCAAAATAAAGACAAAAAGGTCAGAATGTGGCTGGGAGATTGGAGTCAGAGCTTTAATTCAAAGCCTAACCGTTCAATATTTATACTCCTCTAATGTTTTATTCTCTTAAAAGTCTGTAGAAATGTTTCTCAGTGAATAGAACAGATATTTGAATTGAAGGTGCCTTTAGGGGTGTGTTGGTGTTGGAAGTGTTGTGTGAGACAGTTGACTGGAAGAAGGTGGTGGGTGGGTAAGTGTTTTTCCGCAACAGCTTGTTCTATGATCTGTGATTTTAGAAGAACTGTTCCTTTAATTGTTACTAATTTTGTCCCACATTCTTACCTGCCAATCTTTACTTTGCTTTTGGCCTCTTCATAGGTATCAACAGGGGAAGCTGCTATTGGATCAATCACTTTCCAGAGGATAACGACTACGATACAGACAGCTCAGAGTACATCTTACGTAAGTCAGTGCAACGGCTTCATCTTCAAACACTACAGCTTTTAATCCACTGTCTTCCTCCCCCTTCTGTGATAATGGAGTTATCACGAGAGCACTTAATGTGTCATGACATCTTAACCTCCCCAATAAAAGCTTGATGTCATGACAGTGACTGCAGCTCTGCTAAGAAAAATGAGGTGTTATGTGTTGAGCTACAGGGCTTGTCTGAAACAGTAGGCTTCCATTTATGAGTGCCAAAATTTCACAAACAAGATAGACTGAGTTCTACACAGCCGTGTAAAAAGAATCAGTATCCCATTAAATATTTAAACCTTTATTAGGAAAAGAACAGAGATTAATTATGACTTAAATAAATAAATAAAAAAAATATAATCAAGTATTAGCAGAGAAAGTTTTTAGTTTTTAGTTTTTTAGGACACTTTAAACACACTAACTAGCCGTCACGTCTATTTATTTATTTTGTTGGTCACTTTTCTGGTCACTTTAGTTTATTCTTTGTCAGTATTTAATAACATAACTCAGCTCTTTTAAGTTATTTTTCTTTAAAAAAAATCTGCTATGGTTAAAAAAGTTGGTTAAAGATTTAATTGGAAGTCTGTGTTTGTGTTCTTTATTATAATTAAATCATTTAGCAATATCATAAAATGTCCAGGCAGAGCTGCACATAAAATATGGTTTCAAATCTTTTCAATAATTATCGATATCGATCAATATGCATTTTTTTTTATCGACACATTTTTTTTACTATATCGCCCAGCCCTACTACAGCCTACTAAAGCAAAGCATTCCCCCCCTCGAAGCTAAACAGTTAGTGTTAGCTTGATTTCAGTGTATGCTACATATGATAAACAGGTATCCAGGTGGTTCAATCTTAGGCCATATTTGTAGGGGATCTGTGTAAGCAAAGTCCCAAATAGATTTAGCAAGTGAGAAAATTTTCTCTCAGATTTTGAGTAGTCTTAATAGACTGTATTTCCCTGGCAAGTAAACTGTTCACTCTTAAAATGGCCTATTGCTATAAGTAGAGGTCAAGTGCCCCACTGTTAATTGGAAATGCCGGACTCTTGTGCATGTTCATTTTGTGACACCGAGCCAAACTTGCCAGTAAGGCAAGCACTGTGGGTAGAGATTTAATTGGAATTGACAAATATAATAATATATCTGTCACATCTTGGTTGTGGTTTAGAGGACCCAAATACAGAGGCAGAGAGGCTGAGGTGAATTCTTGTTTTTTTAATGGTAACACAAACAATAGGGGCCAAAATCCAACTTAAAATGTTACACAGACCAGAACCATGGAGACATCAGGGGAAAACAAGCACAAGGAGCCAGGGAGAGACGAGGTGAGAAGACAACAGCGACGACAGGACCAGCAACAACAAGGAGTGACTGCAGAGGGAGAGTATATGTAGCTGACTGAGACAATGGCAGGGCTAACGAGCTGACAAGGAGCAGGTGTGAGAGGAGACAAAGAGGGTAACAGAGGAAAACAACAGAAAAAACCTGAGAACTAACATAAATCTAGAAACTACAACAAAATAGGAATTAAACCAATAAAACTAGGAAACATGGAGCAAAGTAAAGCACAACATAACCATGACAATATCATCTGCATGAAGTGTGATTTTGTGGTCAGTGTCTGACCTCGCAAATGGCTCAATTACGAGGTCAAAAACGATTCGACTGAGTGGAAAGCCCTAATTTGTTACGCGATTTAGGGTAAAAAGTTGCAACATTATATAGTTTGTCTGACATTTTACAACAGGGGATGTATACAGTAATTTGATACAAGCTAGTCCAAAATAGAGCCTGACCAATATGGAATTCTACAGGCTGATAAATAATAAAATAAATAAATTGAACGTTATTGATCTAACCATAGAGAAATTGACTCTCTGCATTTAACCCATCTCCTTTGGGTGTGCAGTGGGCTGCTACTATGCACCTGGGGAGCAATCGGAGGTTAATGGTCTTGCTCAGAGACCCAGATTTGCAGCCTGTGAGAGTGGGTTTCAAACTCACAACCTCAGGATTCCAAGTCCTGTGTCCTCACCTCTAGGCCACCACTCCCCAACTCTCTGCATTTAACCCATCCCCTTGGATGGGTTAAATGCAGAGATGTGTGGCGCCCGGGGAGCAGTGTGGGGTTAAGAGTCTTTGCTCAGGGAACTGGAGTGGCAGTTCATGGGTGAACCTCTGGATTCAAAGCGCAATGCACTAACCACTAGCCCACCACTCCCATAAGGATATCAATGTTGGAGGCTTTAAAAAAACAATATGCAATATATTGGCTAACATCAGCCAATATATTGCCAGAATTAAAAAAAAACTGAGTATGGACATATACAGGATATGCACTATATTGCTATAGTAAATATGATTTAAGACAAAGAAACATAAAATAGAACTAAATAATTAAAAGAACCAACTTTAGTTTGAGCAGTGTCAACATAAGACTATAAATACAATACATTTTTGTGGTGCTGACTTAGATATTACCTCAAATTTTTTGCCTTTCTGGTGCTAGAGCCCTGAATAACTTTAACACTGCAGATGCTGCATCCAACAGCTGTTATATCCTTAATGAAGTGGCTCCACACCTGACTTTTCCCCTCTGCTTGTGAAATTAATATATATACATTTATCATATTTTAATAATTAGAGTTTAATTCTACAAATGAGCATTTATAAATAAAAACAAGTGGCTGCATTCAGCTTGAAGTAATAACACCCGGGCTAAAGGAGGAACTTTGTATCTGATTAATTTTTAAGATTCATTTACAAAAACACCTCAGAAATATAAACTTGTAATATTTGCAAGCAACTAAAAAGTTTCCTCCTTTACTCCCCTCCACCCGACTCCTGTTTGATCTTGTGCTATTATTGAAGGGCCAACACCATCCAGGCTATGTGCTAGTGTTTTGGCAAAGATTTATTTGTCTGTGTTCAGGAGAGAAATAGGCCTAAATGAAGTGCGATGAGCGGGGTCTTTTCCTTTCTTTGCTATGAGAACTATGTTGCCCTCATTCATTGATGGAGGAAATAGCCATGTCCAAGGGATTCAGTCAAGGCCGTGGTTAAAGATTGAAATGGAGAAGTTGAAAACTCCTTGAAAAATTTGCTTCGAGAGCTATCCTGGCCCAGGGATCTACCAGATTGCTTCGAGGATATTGCTTGGACTATTTCTGTCTGGCTCAGAGGTTATTCCAACTTCACCACCATTTCAGGCAATGGTTTTTAAATGGGTAGTGGGTCAAGAAATGCATTTTCTTGGTGAAATGTCTCCATTGATAAAAGATTTTTAACTCAGGATGCTAAAATTCTGCTTCTACCCGAGTCATGTAATGATAAGGCAGCAAAATCTTTATCAAGCTAAAGGGAATACTATAAACTGGTGGCAGACACACAACATGCACAGGTTTTTACCTGTGATTGCGCACACAGGCCGTATTCAGATGCTGGGTGTATAGCTCTCTTTTGCATACTTCTTAGGTTTTCAACTTTAATTTGTTTTATATTAAATGCATTCAGAATCTATTAGTTCTTCTATTACTGCTGTTGCTGCAGCTGCTACAGCTAAATGTTGATAATTACAACATATGTGCTTACTATGTCTGCAGGTGCTGCTAACTGAAGTATTTAACTAACTAAAGTTGAGCCATTTTAAGATACTATTCTTGGCTGGAAACATTTTACTAGTTTATTAGTACCAATCTTTTTTTCTGATTTAATACTTCATAATAATACCTTGGGGTGTTTCGTTTTATTGTGACGACAGGCAATATTTGGCAACCAGAAAAAGAAAAACAGCGTTTTTTTTTATTCGTTACTTTTCTGCCGTGCAGATGTTCACTAGCTGAATGACCAGGAGCATCACAGCAACCGACTGCTGGTGGAGTGATAATATGATGTATGGAAAACATATGGAGAAAATATCAAAGTCTTCCAGTTCAATCTTTAACCACGGCCTTGACTGAATCCCTTGGACATGGCTATTTCCTCCATCAATGAATGAGGGCAACATAGTTCTCATAGCAAAGTCTGCAGCAGTATGAAGAATTTAAGAGAATATCTGCATTTTGGTGCTAAATATAACATAAGTCATGTTTTAAACTGGTGGCTGTTTATGTTTCTTTTAAGTTTGGAACAAAAAGTTCAGTTTAGGCAACTGGACGTCCATGACCTGGCGGACTTAAAATCTACACAGATATTTAAATGTGAATGTTTTCTTAAATATCTCTCCTTAGAGGAAAAACGATCTTGTCTAATATTTTTTTAATCAACAAGCCTTGGCAAAGAAATCAGAAGAAAGAAATGAACGGTATACACATTTCTATAAACTTTTTTTTTTTAACCCTCATCATTGCTCATTTTTTACACATAAAGCTACCATGAAGAGTAACATCTGATAGAAATGGGGCAGTTAAAAAAACAGACCAAAACAGTAAAAACTTTGATGACAAGTCATCTGTTAAGACCTGTAGGGGGATGAGAAGTAGAGTTTCACCGATACCAGTATCGGGCGAGCCCGGATACTGCACTAAAATGGTGGTATCAGTATCGGCGAGTACCGACAAATAGGGAACCGATACCATTTAGAGAGCCAAAAGTTTATTCAACTATTGTCAACCATTCCAGGTAGGCAATAAAAAGTTCTACTGGATTCACTTTGTATTAGTCTGTTTCATGTTTCACAAAGGTAGGCAGCAGCTTGACAAAGCCAGGATGGCAATTATTTTACATCCAAGTAGTATGCAGTACTTCATATATACACACACACATCAATTTCAAACAGATGGTATCTGCATGGTATCGGTATCATCAATACTGCAAAGCCAGGTATCAGCTACTGGTATCTGTCAGGTTTCAGTGGTGATTTGAGGACCCAGAGGCAGAGGCTGAGGAGATCTCTTGCAGCTTTAATGAAATAAACAGAGGTAACAGAGGCAGGAATCCAAAAATCCAAAATCAAACATGAAAAATATAAAGCAAACCAGAAC